TGTTCCCGCCTGTCCTTTGTTCACACTTGCGTGGGTCCGTCGACCTGCGATGTCACAGTCGGTCCCCACCAGCCACGTGTGGCTACTGAAGTCACCCATGAGGCTCATATGTCACTCCTCTGGMAAATGACCCTCAGCTCACATTGGGGATGCGTGCTGGGTGGCAGGGGTGATGGCAGCCTCCTTGACAGGGCGCGGTGCCTCGTTCACCTGGACGGAAGCCCCCATGGGTGTTCCTGTTGGACAGGGAGGACGTAGAGGCCCAGAGAGGCRGGTGGCCTGCCTGTGGCACAGTGTCCCAGGTGGCAGCAGGTACCCTCGTCCCCCTTGGTCATATGCCCATGGCCATGGTGTTAACAGGCGGCCACTTCAGAGCTGCGTGGCTGGGGGGACGCAGCGGTCGCCGGACAAGCAGTGGGGTCGGTAGTGACGGCCAGTTGCTGTCCAGGTGTCAGATCGTGGTCACCCTCGAGGGTTGCAGCGTGTCACCCTGAAGCTCCTGCTCAGGTACCCCCAGTTGTGTGACATCCTGGTCATTGGGCACCGTTGGTCCAAAGTCTCTGAGGCCATAGTCCCTGGGAGGAAGCGGCTGGTCCCCAGGCCAGAGATGCCACCAGGCTGGCCTGGGTGCGGTCCCTTGTCACAGTCCTCCTGGTTTCCGGGCACTTTGCCCCCAGAGTTGACTTTGGTTTGGGACAGGGGACAGCGAGCAGCGACCGCCTCACAGGGTGTCATGCAGGGTGTGGCAGGGTGGCTGGCTTGTCACCAGGGCTAGGCAAACAGCAGGGTCAACAGGGGGGTCAGAAACACCAAGCCGGGAGCCACTGGGTCCAGGCTCCGGTCGCGGSCCCTGGGCCCATTTCTGCCGGCTGTGTGACCTTGGGCAGGTTGCTTGGCCTCTCTGTGCCTGGTTTGTGTGATTGTTAGGACCCATCCCTTTGACACCCTGGACGCGCCCACAGCCAGCACTCACAGGTGGCAGACGCCATCCCTTGTCATTTCCTCGAGCCCCCACATCCCCTTGTCCTCAGGGAGGGGGTCAGAGTCCCGAGCACCATGGCCTTGGCCATCGGCTGACCTTGGCCATCAGCTGACCTTGACCGGCGGCTGACCGACCTCACGAAGGAGAAAGCTGGTGGAGCCCCGCGGCGTGAGGAGCCGCCGTGTCCTGTCTTCTCTGCTTCCCGTCCAGCCGAATGTCCCTTGTCCTTGTCACCTCCTTGTCCACGTGACCGCTGGCCGGGACAGCATCCTGGTGAGGGTGGCCTCCTGGCGGGCGAGAGGCCCAGTGTCCCTCTTCTTCAGCCCTTGCCACCCCCRCGGCCTCTTGCTTCTGCCCCACTCAGGGTGGTCACTCCGTGTCGCCCGCTGTGGCCGGCCAGGGGACTCGAGCTGGGCTTCCCCGGGCAGCGTCCCTGTCCCTCCACCTGTAACTGGAGCCGAGGGCCATGGAGCCGCGGCCCGGAGGCCGATCGCACAGGTATCGGCTGACGGCCACTGTCCCACTTCCCTCCCTAGGAGGGGCAGGTGACAATGGCCACCGGTCCCCCAGGGAGAGGCCGCGGTGCTATCGGGCCACCCGATCTCGGCCTCRGAGGCCAGTCCGCCCCGGGGACACGGGCACAAACGGGGCCTTCACTGGGTGCCAGCGCCCGGGACCCGCCGTGCCAGCTGCGTGTCCCCCCATGTGACCTGCGGCTCACACACCTGTCCCCCCGCCCGGGCCTCGCCCGTGAAAGCCCTTTGTTCCTCGGCCCCGGGACAGACGGGTCCTGGCACCGTGACGGCGCTCGCCGGCCACCCCCCGGGGGCCACCTGCCTGGGGACCCTGCGGCTGAGCCCCTCTCCGTGGGGACCAGTTCTGGGCTGCGGTGGGGCTGGGTGGTGGCCCCGGGGACCAGGAGCTGCTGCGGCTGCCCAGGCCAGGCTGCCCCGTCCCCCGCCCCACCACCAGCTCCTTTGTTCTAGAACCTTCTGGGCAGCGCTGGCCCTGCCTCCCTGGTGGCCCGGGCAGCCCCCTCTGAGTCTTTGTCATGCTCCAGCACAGAATGGGGACCACGCTCTGTCCCTCCCAGGGGACCCTGAGATGGTATTGGCCAGGGGGTGGCCGGCCACACAACTGGGCAGATGGTGACCGTGGCCATGTGACCGTCCCTCGGCCATCAGGGGCTTCGTTTGGTCTCAGTTTTATTTTTTATCTGTCCACATTTTTCTTTTTGGTCCTGGGGATGGAACCCACCCGACCCCTGAGCCCCGTCCCCAGCCCCTTTTTTATCTTTTATTGAGAGACAGGGCCTCGCTGAGTGGCGGAGGCTGGCCTCCACCTGGCGATCCTCCTGCCTCAGCCTCCGGAGCCGCTGGGATGCCAGGTGCAGGCCCGGTGCCCGGCTGACAACGTGACTGTCCTTTGAAAGCCACTCCGCCGCTGGCTGAGGGTGCGGTGCCCAGAGCCAGGTCATCTGGGCTGTGGAATCCCTCAGATTCCTGTAGATCGGTGGGTCCCAGGGCATGGGGTGGGGGATCCGCACAGAGAGCCCTGCCTGGACCCTGGGGACTGTCACCACTGTGTCCCTCCCACACTGACCATGGATGCTCAGCCCCCAGACCACGTGGCCCGAGGAGGAGCAGGGCCGGGCCCGGACACCGGCCCCTCCGCCTTGGCTGCCCCCGCCCCTCAGCTGTCCAAACACGGGGACCCCCCAGGAGCGGCCCTGGGAAAGGCTGGAGCGGCTCAGGAAGCCCCTGTCCCTCGGCTTCCGTCCCCCCGGGGTCTGCTTTGCTCTGGAGCCGCTGCCCGCGGTGCGGGGTGACCAGGCCCGGGCCCAGCTGCTTCCCCCGAGGGTCCCAGAGCAGCAGCCTCCTCTCCTGCCATGTCCACGTCCCCCCCCCAGCAGCAGGGACATGCTGTTTGTCACTTTGTCCTCGACGCCCCGGGAGGCTGAGGCTCGGGGGGACACGTACAGGCAGGTTCTCCAGGCCAGCTGGACCTGGGCACGGCCCTGGGCCTCCCTTGCTGCGCTCAGAGGAAAGGCAAGCCACGTCCTCTCTGCCTCCTCTTTCCCTCCCCTTCTCTCCTGGTGACAAAGCTGTGACTCCTGAGCAGCCCCTAGGCCTCGGGGGGAGAAATTGGATGGACCCCACAAGCGCCAGGTGGAGCAGAGTTAAAATGGCCCTGGGTGCGGCTTCAGGAAGGGCTGGATCAAGCACACAGGGTCCGTCCCGGCCTCCCATCCAGCGTCCACGCTGCTGCCAGGAGCCTGGCTTCTGCTGCCTTCCCTGCGCCTCAGAACCACTCAGCCAAACACGGACAACCTGATGACCAGCCTTGACCACGGGGCCGGAAGGAGGGTCCGGCTTGGGCACGGTGGAGTGGCTCAGGTCACCGCATGCTGGGGCTCCAGGGACTCCGAGGGAGGGGACCGTCTTGAAGGGAGGGAGGCTGGGGATGAGTATGGCAGCGAGATTCAGCTGGGAAGCTCCAGTGGTGTCCCCAAGGGGGCAGGGACATCCAGAATGCTGGTGGTCAGCAGGTGCCAGGCCCCGAGGACCTCTGGCCATAGCCGGGAGCTGACCGATTTCTGTTTTGGTGGGAGACAGTGCCTGGAGGGCTGCCCTGTCCCCCATGATGTCGCACCTCGGGCTCCAGAGCAACGGGCCTCACCTGCCTGGCCAGAAGCCTCCGAGCCCTGAGCAGAGGAACCTTTCTTTCTTATAAGCCCATGGCCTCAGGTATTGTGTTACAGTCACCAGACAGCTGACCACACGAGCTGTCCTTGCCTTGGTGTCTGAATGTGACCTCCCGTGGGGGGTGGCACTGGGTGTCCTAACTGCACGTCCCCACCCAACACACACACATTCGTACACGCCCACCCTTGTCCCTGGCTCCTGCAGGCACACGCTGCAGCTGAAGCCCAGGCAGGTGGCCTGGGGACCCTGGGAACAGGCCCGGGGTCTCTGTTCTTTCTTATTCAACGATGCTGACCCCACTGTGTGCCAGACACAGGGGGACCCAGCAGCCACCAGCAGCCACCAAGACAGAGTCCTGTCCCCACAAAGCTCAGGCTTCCACCAGAGTCCCAAGGCATCTGTGGACTGTGACCAGGAATGAACGGGCCATGGAGGGGGGCAGCACCCCACAGGAGGGGCGTGTCCATGTCCATGAGGGGGCGTGTCTGTGCGAGAAGGGCGTGTCCTTGTGCGTGGGGGAGTGTCCATGTGCGTGGGGCGTGTCCTTGTGCGTGGGGGCGTGTCCATATGTGTGAGAGGGGGCGTGCCCATGTGGGTGAGAGGGGCATGCGCAAGGGGGGTGTGCGCCTGTGCGCCTGTGCACGTGTGTGTGCGTGTGCGCGTGCGCAGAGCTCTGTGCACTCGGCACCCAGGGCAGGGCGGGCCCCTTGCAGGACCGACCTGGAGGAGCAGCTGCGTGTGGGACGTCCCGTGCGGCCCCCCGCCCTGGTCCCAATGACAGCACCCTCCCACTCAGGGCGCCCACGGTGGCCTCAGAATACAGTCCCCACCAGGTGGAAGGATTCTTTTTAATTAAATAAATTAATATCATTTTTTTTTATCAGAATAAATCGTTAAATATCGCTATGCGGAGCCCGAAGGTCCAGAGTCCTGCCGAAACACGACGTCCCTGCCACGAGGGACCCGGGGGCCGCGGGTGGAGCGGCGACAGGTGGGGGGACAGAGCCATCCAGGGCCGGGCCGGCCTCCACGGGATCCACAGGGAGCAGAAAAGCCCCAAGGGGGTCCCCTTGAAGCTCTCCCACTGGGAGATCCCGGTGCAGTGGCAGTCCAGTCCCCCCTGCAATCTCATTTGCAGCCGGTCCCCCCTGAGATCTGGCTGGCAGCCAGTCCCCCCTGCGGTCCCACTGGCACCTGGTCTCCCCCTGCAGTCTCATTGGCAGCGGGTCCCCCTGTGGTCCCACTGACAGCGGGTCTCCCTGCGGTCCCACTGGTAGCCGGTCCCCCCTGCGGTCCCGCTGGCTGCCGGTCCCCCCGGAGATCTGGCTGGCAGCCGGTCACTTGCAGGTGTACATCTCGGTGCGCTCGCTGCAGGTGTTGCAGCGCACGAAGCAGCACCAGTGGAACTTGCAGTTGCACTGCCACACGCGCGCGTACTGGTGCGTGTTGTAGCCGCGGCCGCAGCACATGAGGTCGCAGCCGCTGGCCTGCGGCGCCGTCTTGTTGCAGGCGCGGCCCTGCGTGCCCACGCTGCCCGTCACCGGGTCCTCCTCGCAGTAGTTGGGCGACTTCTCGATGTACACCAGGTCTGTCTCCATGGGCTTCTGGTAGCTCCGGAGCTGTTTGATGCGCAGGAAGGTGGGCTGCCGCAGGCGGCTGGCCCGCACCACCTCCACCTGCACGGCCGCGTTGTACTTCTCCTTGAGCAGGTGCCCCACCTCGCGGAACTTGGGCAGCGTGGTCCAGCAGGTCTTGGTGGTGCACGAGCCGGACACCCCGTGGCACTTGCACTCCAGACGCATGTTCTCCTCCAGGATCTGCGGGGGACAGGCACAGGTCACTGGGCGCCCACCAGCCCCCCGGGGTCCCTCCACCCAGGTGCCACCCTGTGGGATCCCTCTTTGGCCCAGTGACCAGCCCCAGCCCAGAGCTCGCCCAGATGTCCCCTCTGGGCCCAGGGATTTGAGGTCCATTTTGCACTGACATCTACAAACAGGGAGGACTCACTGGCAAACATGGGCCATCAGGGAACGGCTGGGGTGATGTCCAGACACCTAAGAGCTGGAGAGCTGGGCAGGGCACCCCCATGCCCCTCATCCCAGCCCCTCCGGGAGGCTGAGGCAGGAGGATCCCAAGTTGGAAGCCAGCCTCAGCCACGGAGTGAGGCCCTGAGCAGCTCAGTGGAGGCCCTGTCTCTAAATAAATGCAAAATAAGGTTGGGGACGGGGCTCAGGGGTCGAGGGACCCAAAGGGTGCTATCCGCACTGCGTGGRCCATGGGGGAGAAAACAGTGAACCCCACTAGCCAACCCTGGGGACAGGAATGAGTCTCGGGGGGGACAGAAGTCCTCCACTAGAGTCAGGACCTGGCTTCTTTCCATCAGGCTCAAGGTTGGGTGGGACTGGACCCTGTCCCTTAGGAGCCTGTTGGGGGGGTCTGATGAGGACCTCCGATGTGGGGGGCTGGCCAGGGCCACCAGGGTCCGCTGGGCAGTGGAGATCAGTTCCTGGACGTCCCTGGGGACACGAGGCCTCCTATATTTGAGATGGCTCTGAAGTGACCACGGACACCCTTCGTCGAGTTTTGCACACACACCGGCTGTCCCCGTGGTAGGACGCACCGTGGGTCTGACGGCCAAGAAGCAGGTGACAAGATGCCAACGTCCTTAGTCGGCAATAACATCCAGATCCAGGTCACAGGGAGACCCCCACCTCCCACTTGCTGGGGTGGCCGGGATGAGGACACGCGGTGGGTGACGATGTGCAGAAATGGGGACCCTCCYGCCCTACTGGGGGGACGTAAAATGTCACTTGAGGGACGCCTGGAAACACGGACCCCAAGACACCAAGGGACACGGAGACACGTCCACGTGGAAACCTGTGCCACAGACGCCAGCAGCACCCACCATGGGGACATGGGCACCCAAGGCTCCCAGCTGAGGGACGGGCACGTGGGGTGTGGCAGAGCCCTGTGTGGGTGCCTGTCCCTGTCACCCAGGGAGGGACCTGGGAGCCTTGCTCAGGAAGCTCCAGACCCGGGTAGCAGGTCCGAGGGCTCGTCTGTGTGTCCGGACAGGGTGACAGAGACCAGGGGAGCTGGAGGGGACACAGGGGCGCGGCCACAGGTTTCTTCTCGAGGTGACAAGATCCTATACAACTGAGTGTGACGTCACCTCAGTAAGGACAGCTGCTACCAACCCGAGAGGCCATAGCTGGGGCAGGCAAGGGTGTGGACAGAGGGGTCTCTAGTGCATGGAGATCACGACGTTCAACTGGAAGAGCTTGTTGAGAGCCGGATGATGGCAGCCGGGGGCCGGGGAGAGGCGGGGCCGGGGAGGGGCGGGGCCGGGGAGGGGCGGGGCCGGGGAGAGGCGGGGCCGGGGAGAGGCGGGGCCGGGGAGAGGCGGGGCCGGGGAGAGGCGGGGCCGGGGAGAGGCGGGGCCGGGGAGAGGCGGGGCCGGGGAGGGGCGGGGCCGGGGAGAGGCGGGGCCGGGGAGAGGCGGGGCCGGGGAGGGGCGGGGCCGGGGCGGGGCGGGGCCGGGGAGAGGCGGGGCCGGGGAGAGGCGGGGCCGGGGAGAGGCGGGGCCGGGGAGAGGCGGGGCCGGGGCTGGCCAGCAGGTCCTGCGTTAGACGGGAGCAGGGCGGTCCATGCGCTGTTGCACAGTGGGGTGACTGTTCCAGAAGCCCTGCCAGGCCACCATGGGTAGCAGCGGGCTGTACATTTTTACAAGCCAAGGGGACGAGCCTCTCTGGGTGTCTTCCCTAAGAGCTGAAGTGGCTGCCTTTTGGGGTCTGTGAGTTACGACGCCTGAGAAGGTGGTTTTGATGAAAAAGGCAATGAGAACATCCAGGGGCGGTGGCCCACGCCTGTCGTCGCAGCAGTTGGGGAAGCTGAGGCAGGAGGATCTCAAGTTGGAGGCCGGCCTCAGCCACGTAGTGAGACCCTGTCTCAAAACATTAAAAAAAAAATCTAAAAAGATAAAAATTTGAAAAAGCTGGGGCTGTGGGTCAGTGGTCCAATGGCCCTGGATTGGATCCCCAATACCTACCCACTCCCCCAAATGGGAGGGCCCTGGTAGGCTCTGGGGAGACACCGACAGGAACCCTGGGCACTGGCAGGTCGGCCACAGGGAGTGTGATGGCTTTGGTGACCCTGGGCACGATCCCCAGATCCTGGGTCCCTGGAGCTCCACTCCTGACCGGGTGGCCTGCCCCCGGAATGTCCTCTGTGGCCCTGATGGCCTGAGGCCCTGGCAGCGCTGAATGGGCCCAGGATCAGGTGACACCGACCCGACCTGCAAGCGCTGCACTTCGGGAGCCTCGGTGACCACATTGTGTCCCCACTAAGCCGGGCACAATCACGGCTGCCCCAGCCAGGGCTGGTCACCCAGCGGGCACCCGCCTCTCCCCGAGGTCAGGGACCAGAGGGTGCACGGGAGGCACAGAGCGGCTCTCTCCCTCCCCCAGGCCCCCGGGGGCGTCCAGTGCCTGGGCTGTCCCCAGGGGACACGGTCCTCCTGCCCCTCGAGGCGTTGCCGGAGACCCCAAGGTGACAGCCCTGGGCGCACCTCTCCAGAGACGGCCCCACGACCTTGCCTAGCAAATGTCCCAGCTCAGCCTTTGGCCTGCCCAGTCGCCCCTGGAATGTTCCGGAAGCCCTGCCAGGCCACCAGGGTCAGACCGGCGAGGCTGGAGGGAGGTGAAGTCTGGCCCCCAGAGGGACCAAGCCGAGGGGTCAGCTGAGGGCTTGAAGCCACTGGCCTGAAGGACCTCAATACGGAGGTCTGCACGGTGCCTCGGGGGTCCCGGGTTCTGGACCCAGCTGCGTAAGATCGTGGGGCTGCACCGTGTTTCCTCCGGCCACTGCATTCCCTGACCCACCTGCTGTTTTCATAGGTCACCCCCTGTAGCCTCCGCCTCGGGGCAGTCAGACCCCACGGGAGCTTTGCTGGGTCCCACGTCCCTTGTGAGGCAAAGTTTCCAAGTTCATCCGTGGGGGGGTCGCGTGTGTCAGCTTCCTTTTTCCTGGCTGAATAGTATTCCACGACACAGATGGACACACCTGGTCCACCCATCCCTCAGTGGCTCAGCCGTCCCTCCTTAAACTCTCTTTCGCTTCTTAGTCCCAAAATGCCCAGTCACCTGGCCACCCGTGCGGGGACATGTATTGCATGGCTTCTCGGTGGCAGGGCGGAGCCGACCCTCAACCCCACGCGTGGTGGCTATGGCCACACCCCAGGTGGCGGGTTTTAGCCGACAAGCGACTTGGAGCAGGCAGGAGTCGGGAGGCCAGAGCGCTCAAGGTGGACAGGGAGCCAGCTGCAGCAGCAGGGATAGGTAGCCATGGTATAAAGTGTGATTCCTGGAGCTTAGGCAGCCGTCTTGTGACCAACGGGCCAGAAACCCAGAGGCTAGCTGGGCAACCCTGGCAGAGGAGAAGGTCACCATGAAACCATCTCACAGAGTGACCGGGGGAGGGGGCCTCTGTGAGATGGGGGCCTTTCTTTTGCAAGAAAAAGGGAGGTCAAACCCACGTCCATCCAAGCCACGTCCAGTTCAGTGATTTTACTTGCAGCCAAATGCACCTCAGGTCACTTGTTCCCCTCTGTCAGGCAGAGGCAAGGCTCTCCTCCGAGGGGACGGTGGGGACTAAATGGGAGCAGGGACGGTGGGGCATCGGGTCTAAGGGCTGGTTCTGCCTCCAGTGCTGTGTGGCTCTAGGCAAGTTTCTGTCCCTCTCTGGGCCTTGGTTTTCCCCATGCATAGGATGCAGTTAGAAGGAGACAGTAGAGAGAGGTGACAGGGACATCAGAGGACAGGGTCGGGAGGGGAAACAGAAGCAYGTTGGCACAAGAGACAGGTCGTCCCCAGCGTCCCCGGAGCTCTGAGGGGCAGGAGCTGCGGAGACGCAGGAACTGGCCTCTCCTCGGGGGCCTCCCTCCTCTGCTTCCTGCCTCCCGTCCCCTCCTGGCCTCCCCACCGCCAGCTGCCGGGCTTCCCCCGGCCACAGCTGGGCTCCTCTGGGAAACTCTGGGAAACTCAGGTCACAGTGGAAATGGCTTTTWTTTTTTTCTTTTCTCTGTAAACATCTGCCGTCTTTCCCTTTGGTCACATTCCTTAAGTCACCCGGATGCCCTGACCTCCAGCAGACACTCCCGCCTGGCTCAGGTGGGGACTGCAGGGAAAGCCACACTCCTCTGGGACGCGGCTGTGTGGCCCGGATGGCCCAAGGAGGCAGGGAGGCTGGCCCGGCCTCAACCAAACCTGACCAGAGGTCCCTGGTCCAGCCGGTTCTGAAGGGACTATCTGCACGTCACAGCTGCTCCGGTGCCACCCATGGCCCCTGTTGTCCTGGGGTCAAGGCCCAGATCTGCTGCCTGGCCCTGG